CACACACACACACACAGGTGCTTGAGCAATGATTGTGTCAACAGCTTGGCTTACCCAGGATGACTCCCTGGGCACCGCGGTAGTAACTGGGCGTCAGGGTTCGGAAGCGCTCCTGTCCTGCAGTGTCCTGCAAAACACGACCAGCTCAGCACTGCTGAATACACTCACAGGGAAAAACTGGTGGCTCAAACAGAAGGAAAACCAGGGCAGATGGACGTAAACAACAAGACTGACTCCTCTGTGTCCCATATGGGACATTTAGGCAGAAATGGTGTGGCAAAAGCGCCATCTTCTGGCCACTTGAGAGAACTGACAGATTGGAGTCGTGGAGGAGTTTGATCCCTCTGCTCTGACTGACGGAGCCACATTTAATGAGTTTTACTGAATAGAGTGCACAGTCACTTACCCATATTGCCAGCTTTGCCTTGTTACCGTCCACAGTAATGGTCTTCACCTTGAAGTCAACACCTACACAAGGAAAAGCCAGTCCATCACTCATGCTGTCATGATTACCTCATAATGCTTCAGTCTCAATATGGCGACTCTTACAGGTTTGACCAATTACTGCCAAGAATATCATATCATGGTGACAGACTATAATTATCAATGATGAATTGTAAAAACATACACACTACACAATGTCTCTGAACTTGTGCTAACCCCAGCGTTTCAGACTGCCACTTGGCCCATCCCAAGTACTGTATTTAAATTATGGTGTGACAGTGCACTCGTATCCACCACAAAGGGACGGTGTGGTTTAATGTCCTGAATTGAAACCAATACAGGTCTGTGTTAAAAAAATGAATAATAAAAATCCACCACCTGCAAAATGGCTCAGAGAGCCATGATTCACCCCTAAAAGCCCTGCCAGGTCCCAAAGGAACACACATTTACATGAAAATAACAATGTTGTCCCCCTTCCCCTCAACAAGTAAATCTCCTCTATTGCCTTTGTGCAGTGTCTCGGTGTGCAAGGCGTGCAGGGTCTGGATGACATATCTGCCTCAGTTTTAGCATCCACTGACAGATTTACCAGGGAAATGTACACTTGTGATGGGGCTTGTTTTTACATCTGGGACTGAGGGAGGTTTCAGAGCCAAAACAGAGGAGGAGAAAAGGGACATGAAGACAGGCTGAGGATATATGACACACAGTATGTGTACCACACACACTTACACACAAATATACTGTCTGTTCACACAGTCAATCACAACAACTAGCTTTTCCTCTAGTCCAGCAGGGTTGCTCAGATACTGCTGCCAGAGGCATGTGGAGAGGAGTTTACACTTAACATTTCCCTGAACCTGGACCAGTCTGTCCTGCTTCTATTCCGCACAAAGTCAGGCAGGCCTTTTCCCACACAACAGAAAGCATCTGTTTGTTATATCACAACACGACAAGATGCCACTACTGCTGGAAGTCAAGGTTGGGTTGATCTCTGCAGTTCATGGTGGACCCCTCGTCCTACAATGCACCTTACATTTACTCAGCTAGAGTGAATCGCTACTCTGTTTTGTCTCTTTTCACCCTTCTGTAATAACTGTACCCAGAAGTCAGTGACAGCAGGCCTGCTCACCTGTTGATCATCTGTAACAGTAATGGGCCGTGCACACCAGGAACGATAACTGTAACCATCACTATAAATGTATAGTTTGGAGCTGAGTGGATGGCCACACCACAGCTATGATGAGAACAGTTGGGATCACTTTCAGAGCAATCTGAAGGATGATATTGTGGTATACAACTTATTAGACACTTAAACAATAGAATATTTGGCTTTTTGTTTCACTGCACGAGGTACAGCATTAACAGGTCACGATATACATTGTCCTACGAAGCTGCTGGAGAACGCAGCACGTGCTTGGGCCCACACAACGTACTGAGAACGCTAGTGTCACAGGCGGAAGTGCTTTAGGTGGTAAGGATGAACATGAATTCATATCAAGTGATACCGATTAAAAAGTCTGTCTGAATCTGAGGGGACTAGAGTCAATGAGGGAGCTTAACTCCAATAAAGACATCTGTTTGGCAAAGTTTCCCAGCTGGCCAAGTAAAGCAGTAGTGGTCCAAGCCTTGACCCTGAAAAACAATCCTGGAATCTGGGCTCCAGGTTGTATTAATAAAGACAGCATTGTGAGCTACAAGCTCTTCGCAAATTAACATTAGTTAGAATAATAACTAAAACTAAATCATCTCCATTCAAACTCATCAATAAAGTTACAAATCTTGAGTTGTTGAAAGTTAGAATGAACACACACCCTATAAGGTGGTTACAGCCTCAAGCCCACCTGAAAATATAGCAGGTGTGTCCCTGGTGCATCAAATGATTTATACTGTACAAGGCTGATATCATTTGCAGATCCACCAGAATTTGGAAAAACCAGCTTGTAAAAATAATGTAGCATTAAGTTGACCATCTCACCAGATGAGATGGATAGTCTGGTCTGCTGCAGGATATTCTTTCAAATTCCTCATTAAGTTTGAAATAAATCAAATAGCTTTGTGGTTGTGAGGGTGTGTGGTACCGTGGTGACTTTTACTTCCAACTCGCCAAGTGCTCATACCTTGTGTTATAGCAGAGCTCCTAATAGGCCAAACGTCTGTATGGCGAGCTCAGCTTGACTGTGATTGTAGTATAGAAACACCTTTGGCTTTTAATTTCTGTTGTAAATTATTTGCAATAAACACTGGGTGTGCAACTGATACAGGGGGGTGGTGATCGAGCCACATCTGGCAGATAGCAAGGGTTCTGTGGTTTTGAGGATTATTGCTCAGTACAATGTATCTGCTACAGACCAGCAAGCAGAATGAAGATCAGTTTATGTCAACTTTCCTGAATGTGCTAGCCACTGTTGTCTGCACTAGTTGTTTATAGTTCTTAAAGACTCAGACAGGACAGCACAAACATTCTGACAGTCTTGGTGAGCTTTCTCTGCCAATTAATGGCACAAACTGGATCATTTTCACTCCACTGATGATCCTCGTGACTGACTCGTTCATTAACTGAACTCAGATGTGTTGCTCACCTATTGTCGCTGCTTGTTCTGGGTCAAATGTGTCATCTGTGAATCTCAAGAGGAGGCTGTTGACAGGAAGAAGGAAATAATTCGATTAGGACTCATTGTGAATCACTAACAAATACAGCAGAATGGCTTTTTTCAATCAGTAATTCTATTACACACAGGTTGAGGAGGCTTTTGGTCTGGGATCAGGTTTCCATTTGCTCCGTTCACAAAAGCCGTCCTGCGGCACCAGACTTATCGAGTTCTGTATCTCTGTCTCTTTCTATTGATCACTTTGTCCTTCACTTGCATTACACGTACAAGCTCCAGATGATATCACCACTAGATTGCAGTCAGGAGGACAGGGTTCATTTCTTAACTATGACTAATCTAGTGCGTAGGCCTTAATCACAGCGCTGATGATGGGGAATAAGCTCACTCCTTTCCCTTGACCCATGTATAATTCTCTTATTTTTCCTCATGGGCCATCAGGAGGGATGCTGGAGCAGTGTGTGTTTATTGTTTGAGGTCCATACAGCTGATGAGCTGTGCTTGGAGACCGCCAAGTTAGAAATGTGTTCTGTGTAGGTCATTTGTTCAGGTAAAATGAAACGTGTGTATTCCTAGCCAGGCAGACATCTCCCTGATGATTTAAGGGCTTCTACAGATTGCAGGGAAACAAATTATATATCTGTACACCACTCAAAAAGGAGTCCAGTCCGTGTAACTACTTGACAATAGCACAACTCATTTAAATGGTGACATTTGAAACTAATCACAGTCTGACTTTGTTTATAGTATTAAGCACAAGTCTATTTAATAATAATACAAAATTGCTTTCTGGAAGCAACGCAGTGATGCACTAGCAGGCAGCGCGCAGCTGGCCACAAAACTCTGCTGTGTTCTGGAAATATGAGCAAAGCTAGGTCTATGTTATGGTGCTGGCATTAACCCCCTCCACTGTGATCAGTCAATACCGCAAACTATGCACTGTGGGTGAAAGGTGAAAAAGAAAACACATTTCTAGTGTAAAACTAAAATGGGCACAGACCCAAGATTAAACTTACAGCTGTGTGTTATAAATACACTTAATATAATGCCCAAAAAGTGAAAATAGGAAGAAAGAACTGACAATAGAGTAACAATTTCTTGTGGGAATGATGTATAGAGCATGAATGAATACAAACCGTTCAGATTATTTACAACCTTCTGGGGTAACACTTGATCCAAAATGAATCCCTTGTACATTGGATCCCTTGTTGATCATGCTAAAGATCTTGAGATTACTACACACAAAGCCCTATACCTTTCTGTAGTTCACGTTACAGTGACTTCTTTGGAGAACCCGCGGCTTCAGTCTGCGCTGAAAGATGATTTTTTTTTTGGCCAGACAGTTCACTTGTCAGAGGGCTTACAACAAAGCTCTGGGCAGCTCATTATATTGTGCTGTGACTATGGAAGGCACGCTGTACACGATACCATAGTCTGCAATGTGATGGTTGACAGCTCAGGCTGGCTATCAGGATTCTTCCATGCAGTCTGGACCTCAGATCAAGCTCTCTGTTGGCATACTACATAATATAAAGTGCCAGACTCATGTTGGTGAAAACACTATACTCTGCTCTGTATATTAGGCTGATTTGTGGTTGCTAGCAAGGACCTCTGATTACCACATAATGGATAAATAAAGCTGTAACAGAGGCCGAGCTTACTCACGCAGGACACGTTAGATATTCTCTGTTGTGTTCATAACGATGTGTGGTCTTGGAGAAGCTAGAGCTACAGATACAGTAAACACACCGATAAACAGGGACTGCTTCTTGCATAGCCATCACAATGATGTACGACAATACATAAATATAAACATATAGAGCCAGAGCTCAGATATCTGTCCGGCAGTGAAGCCACGGAGACAGCAGGGCAGAAGTGCTCCTGATTGCAACATCTCCGCACAGCTAACAAAGATGATGTCACGTAGCGCTACTGTCAGCTAGCTGAGGTTAGCTGGCAGCTAGCACACCACACGCCTTATTTGTGCCTACAATCGCCTTACGGTGTAAGCTGGGTTATGAAGAAGAATGACGGCCACAGCTCAGTAGTCTGTCATTTTAAAACGCTGCATCATCTTTGAGACTCACATTATCCGGTTGGCTGCTAAGCTAACGCCAGCTAGCTAACGTTAGCAGGGAGCCACGACATCAATTTCTCTGGAGATAACTTCAGCTTACCTGGACTTCCCAACACCACTTTCTCCTATTATCAGTATTTTCAGCGTCGTTAGTATGTCTTCTTCCATTTTCCCTTCACAGTGAGGCGTGTTACTGTCGACTAATAGCGACCACAGGCTGTAGAAAAACGAATCCTGAGTAAGTTGCGGTCCTGTTTACAGCTTGCGACAAAGATAGTTTGACAGCCAGAAGCCTCACTCCAACCATATCCGGTATGACTTTTAGGCACTTCCTCTGATCACACAGCTGATAGACAGTGCTACATAACATCAGTCAATAAGTGTAATGATTCTAATTGGTTCTTTTAAAACGCATTATATTATTGTTTTCACACATTCCAATATTTGTGTTGCTGTTTCTGTTATATTATTACTCTGCATAAAATGAATGTATTTAAATTGTTGCTACAACAGACATATGGCAATTATGTAATCAGTATTATCTTGATTATCATATCAGAAACAAAATGCATGTCATACTTTGAGGAAGACCAGTGCTTGACACGCAGGCTCTCCCACTAAAATAAGACATTTTATCTTTTTTTTTTCTTTATAAAGACAACTTAAATATAATGGATTGTACTGTGTGTTCAAATTGTCTCCACATCCGCACTGTGCTGACTAAACATTTATTAGAACAGGATTTGTCTTCGATTCAATACAACTTAATATCCTGCCTTCGTCTGAGTGAGCCCTACAGGATCAATAAACTTTGTAGTAGAGACACGTGTGATCCAAAAGCTAAAACCATGGCAAGATATCTAATGGATGTTATGCTCCGTATGTCTAAATACAACTAAGCAGTGTACTGAGATCAGCTTTATACTGTACCTAACTTGAATTATGTTTGTACTCGCTGTTAGTCTGATCTAACTGCTCCTCAGTTTCATCAGAAATGATCTTTAAAACACTGGAGAATGCAGCATTACTCTGGCCCACTATTTAAAACAATGGAGACAATCATTTTTAAAAACGCTCAAAGTGATTTTTAGAAGACGACGGATTATCTTATAGTGATAATTCTCTACACAGAAAGACACAGGCAGTTTTTGTACTTTATTTAATAAATAACTCATAAACAGCATTGGGAGAGAACATGGTGTTGAAATAAAAGGCACTTTGAATCAATACTGTAAAGGCTTGTGTGTGGTGCTTCAGAGGCATTTGGGTGTGAAAGCATTTCAGAGTCGTCTGAAAAAACACTCTTGTTTCAGTCTTACAATCCAAAAAAAATGCTACTAACAAAACTGACTTGCACAAATGTGTTCACTGAACAACAGAAAACATATTTTTTGGCGTACTTGACAAACACAGGTAAGGGCCTGAGAACGAGAAATGAAGTTACTGCAGTTAGCAAATACAACAATATAATATTAGTTAATTGCAACTTGTATCATAACTATACAAATCCTTTGATTGTTCAACACTGCTACAACTTCATCATTTAACAAGTGGTATACAGTCCCTTTGTGATAGTACATCAACAATTCAAATAATGATAGTTGATATTAATGTGTATTTGCTCCTTTAGTACTCAATAAGAGTGCAATAAAATCTCAAACACTGGATGTTTCTAAACTGCAGTTCAAAACTACATTTACAACCACTGCATTCACTACTGTCATTCAACATATCTGTCCAATCCAAGTTGAATGCTAAATATTCTTCAATACGTCCGATTGCAGTTGTTTTCAATATATATATATACATACACACACACATTGACATAATGTGCTGCTATGGCTGATAATTTACATATTAAACTCAGGTCCTGTCTGGAACACACAGAGACACACAGGAAGTCAGTGCACAGATAGACGAGAAGAGGGCATGAAAGACAGAGAAGTGTCTGAGAAAGACACAAGCTGAGGAACTCTTGTACATATATTGTGTATCCATAGTGTCCATATTGTGTTGTTTAAAAAAAGATAGATCCTCCGTCCATACCAGTCCTGTGGCAGGAAAAAAAAGCACCTTCGTGTCATAATTTCTGCAAATATGCAACTTAAAAGTATATACATACACTGTATACTGTACATCTAAAATACAACAAATGCATATAAATCATAAGTGTTAGTAAAAATACAGATGCAGTGGCCGTACGGTACATTATAATGGTGAAGCGACGAGAAGAAATGATAAATTCCACCACAAGTTCCCCCCAGACCCCAAAACCCCACGGCAAATACTGCAGTTGTCAGATACTTGATAGCAGAGTTCACTAAAAACTACAACGCCATCATTTTCCTTCATATTTGGGGTTGACCACAGTCGTGACAGCACTTTTGTAGATGGGATTTTCACCCTGGAAAGCAATAAAAAAATAAAGTCACAATCATGTTATTATTATTCAGTCAAGCAAGGTGATACGTGTTTGTTACTTTTACTGACCCATTTCTCAAATCACACAGAACAACAACCTGGGTTCCGTCAATTATTTACCTCACCATCGGTCATTTATTTAGATCACACTTACACAGGCATGCTTTTGTAAAAACATACCAAATATCAGGAGGTACAAATTAGGCATCATATTTAATGGAACAGTTCACCCCAAAAACTACAGATAAAAGGGAAAATATGTAGTTTTGCAGGTGAACTGTCCCTAACACGTGACATACTTACCAAGGTTTTGGTATTTGTTCCCTTAAGACACTTTATATTTTCAAACACTGAACAGGTTTTGTGGTTTTTCAGCTGTATTGATCGTCAGAGCACACTCATGCACTCATTTTTTACTAACTCTGAAGGCAATATAATTCTTCCTAATGAACCACTTGTCTTAAAGTCTACTTGATAGTTTCAAAGGAAAGGTGAAATAAAGAAAAAGTAGCAACTGAGTGAACTCAAGACACACATGAACAGCCCATGCAGGGAAATGAAGTGGAAAGGAAAAGAAATACAAACTTAAAGGACAGCAGCTTTACGTCCATAGTTTGGGTTCTGGAACTGATTGATAGGACTCTTGTATATGGGGTTCTCTTGCTACAGGTAGAGAATGAGGAGAGAGTAGAGTTCAGCAGGAAAAAACAGAACAATAAAGAAAAAAGCTGTATAAAAGGGAGAAAAGTATGAATAAAGTGATTACAGGAAGGCAGTGTGAGAAATAGAAGGTTAAAGGGCCCTACAAGAGGCTACCTACTATAGCACCAACTCTCTGCATAACTAACTGGGTCATTTTGTGTCTTTTTCTGGGGTATTTTCCTGATTAACCTGGGACCTTAATTGCATGTCATTCCCCACTTTGGCATGAATATAAAAATAATAATAATAATAATGACGCCCTGACAATACCAAAAATGTTCAGATCTTGAACACATGCTGTATGAATCTTTCCTTAGCTTCGTGCTGAAACAGATCCACACTGACCCCCCTCTCAAATACAAACATAATAAAGCATAAAAAAATAGAAAACCATGTATAGGGTTGTATTAACATATATAAGTAACTATATTCAATTGAATGCAGCTTTACTATTGCCTAGGCACTCTACAGCTGTATTATGCAGGAAATCAGGATCAGGAGCAAAAAACAGTGATCTGGATATCTCTACATTTGACTGAGCCTGTGAGAGTGTTAGAACAAGAAATGCTAAACAGTCACTTCAAAACGAGGCTTTGGCTTTGGGGTCCAATGAGCTCTCCCTTGGGACCTTGGTCCCACTTAGTATTCCATTCACGGATCTTCTACGGTGTTGCAGACATTTTAAACTATTTATTATTCATTCCCTGTCCTGCATGTGCGAAGAACTGGATATGCAGATAAGGAAACATTTAGTGTAAATTAAACAAGGACCAACTCTCCCATATTGATTAAACTGACTAAAGGATGGTGTGGTTGCAGCCATAAGAGAGCACAAGCAGGAGCTCATGCAGTATCTTTGAAATTCCTCATGGTTGCTTTGCCTTGTTATCTTGTCATGAAGTCCAGGTTAGTCAGAGTTTTACTAACCTCTAACCTCTCAAAATTACAGGGATCTGGAGCCATAGGTTGCCCTGCCCATGGTATTAAGATAGACCCTAAGGAAGAACACACAGTGTGGGTGCAGCACTCAATCAGGAACATCTGCACCATCGAGCCCACAGGCGAACACTGTGTGCATGACACAGTTCCACCACTAGATGGAGGCATATCACTGCACATGAAGTTGTGCATAAATCCAGTCTCCTGTCACATTGATGTTGGCTGATGATGCTACAGAGGGGAGGAAGCAGGGAGGGGAGGAGCTGTGGCCACTCCCCGGAAAAAGTCCAGCTATGCTCAGAGTGCATAACATTCCCAAAAAAGTCCACACAGTCGCTGACATTTTTCCTCCTTATTTTGAGCGCCACTCAAAACCAACACATTGAATCTATTTCTGCAGCTGTGAGACTGAAGAGGCTGCGAGAGAGACCTATTAATGATATCATATCAAGCCTGCAAATCTCATTTGCTGCTAAAAACAACAAACGATCCTGGCTTTGCAGAATGGCCAAACAACACCTGCTTTCCACATTTGAATTACTCAACCAACCTTCTGCCAAAAATGTGAAAATATTTATCCTGCTCATCTTTCAGAGAGCTGGTCAAAGTGCCAAACACTCACCGTATCCCATTTGGCGTTCATCTTCTCTTTCTCAAACTTGGCGAACTCTCTTCTGTCGTGGATGATCATCAGGAGCTTCCAGATGAGCAAAAGGGCTAAACCAATCAGGACGATGCCTGCGACCACGCCCGCCACGATGGGGATGATGTCAGGACCGGAGGGGCAGTCTGAAACGAAGCAGGGTGCAGCAGAGTGTTTAGGCAGCTTGAAATAAGAGCGCAAAAATAACAAGACCATGGGAAAAACATACCATCACAGGGCTGTGTGTGAATAAACAAAACTCCTATTTTTGCAGCTCAACCGCCACAGCCCCTGTAATTAGTTTTCACTGTAACAGAAACCTTCCACACCCTGGCTCATGGTAGCCCAGCTTTCTGCTTACCCAGTGTGTCCACCACATGGACCTCCTTCTCCGTGTTGTTGTTGACGGCGTAGGTGTAGTAGAACCAGCAGTCGTTGGCGTCCCTCTCCTTGCAGTGCATCACAGGGTAGGTTGCGTCGTTGGGCTGGGGCAGCTTTTCCCTGTCCTTCACTTTAATCAAGTTGAAGTAGCTGCAGTCTCTCTCACACGTGTCCTTCTTCTCACCGGTGCCAAACGCCCGGCACTGGACGCAC